CCGACCTATCCCGTCGCAAAACTTAACGGAAAGTTACACGCAAAGTTTTGCATAGGCCGGCCTTGATTTACAGTGGGCTGCTGTCGCCTCTTAATGCAACAGTTCTGCCTGTTCATCACCCACTGTTGCACAAAGGGGTGGAAGGATGCCTTTCGGGGGTGGTTACGAGCGTGGATATCGGCACGCGTGCACTGTGTGTGTTGAATGCGCGAAAGAGGCACTCTTTGCCTAGAAGTATTATAATTCAGCGAGACTCGACGGTCACGCTCTGCGATGAGCATTGCCATTCCTCATTGCAATATAATACTAGATAAACATTTTTTGAAAAAAAATCGTTTCCAACGTCAACTGCAATGTTTTTGTTTGATATTCTTTAAGTACGAAGTTAACATATTCACTCATTTCTAACAGATAATCACGTTTCATTCACAACTTTCCTTCTTAATAGAAAGGATAGGGAAATATATGGCCAAAGGGTGAGGATTAACATGCGAGAGTTCTCGCACGGGTAAGTTAGTTTTCTACGTATATAGAGAAGGAAGTTTTAGATTAGAAGTATCAATTTGGTGGTTTTCTTTCTTGAGCCTCATTTATTTTGGAAAATATCAATTTGAGTACAATACAGAACATTACATATTTTCAAAGAATGTATAATATTGTTACTTAATTCAAGAATTCCCAGGTGAGACAGAAATAAGCACACTGAAAGACATCTAATCTGTCTTTAGAATGTATAAGAATAACACAATTAGAATTTGTCAGTTATAAGGACTATTACACGCAACTACTCAGTCTTTTTCTCTGAAATGTAAGAGTTTTGGAAATGATTTACATATCTAATAGTTGCGTGCGTAATGTATGACTCTTACATTGCAATAGCAATGTTAAAAAATATTTTCATTTTAAACCACTAAAAAGAAATACATTTTCGTAGATTGATAAAAACAAAGAACATCCTTGATTAAAAGGGAAATCAAAATGAGATTTAAATAGAACATTTTATCTAAAGCAGTGAAGTGTTTTCTGCTTGAGTTGAACTGGCAATAAATGAAACATCAGAGAAAATAATTTGGCAACATATGTACTGTTATCTTGCCTTCACAGTCTTGGCGCAACTCAGAGCTTTTTTTATCACAGAATTACTTCGCTGACACGTAAGTTACAACATTCTGAATTAGATTTATGACACCAATTGAGCAAGAGTGCATGATGCTGCAGAGCCAATTGAGTAAGAGTGCTTTCGACGTGCGAAAACCTCACTGCGGCAATTCCACGTCGTCGAAAATCTCGTCGTACGGGACGTTGCCCACGATGGCCAAGGCGAACTGCCGAATGACGTGCGCTGCCGCATCCACGAACGGCTGCCCCAGGTCGTCCACCACGGCGCGCCAGTTCTCGTTCAGGAAGTTGTTGAGGGTGTTGCCTGCAAACAGCACGTATGGAGGCGATGGTGAATAGTCTTCTAGTTCTAAGGCTCAATAGGAGAGGACGGGGCGCGATGCCGCAAGATTAAACTCATGTTCACGTACGAAATTTGGCTGCCAGCAATCGGCGCGGCGGGGAAAGATTTAAAAGTCTGATTTGATCTTTGTTCGCGACCAACAAGAAGGGTTTTAAATATCTGTGCCCTAGCCCAATGCTTATCTATGGGCCACCGTGGCGCCTCGTTGTCGCCTCGTTGAGTCACCCCGACGATAGTGCTCGGGCTCGATCAACTCTAGCCTAGTGAGAGAAGAGAGCACGCAGAGAACTCCAGCGGTCCACAGCGGTCGGATTGAACCGAATTCTGGCATTTGAACTTCCCTGTTCTAGACCCCAGAGCTAAGCAAAATTAAACCCATGTTCGGCTACGAATATTGACTTCCAGCATTGACTTCGGCGCGGCGCGGCGCGGAAATATTTAAAAGTCTGATTTGATCTCGGTTCGCGACCAATACGATGGATATTAAATATTTCATCAAGTGTTTTGTAGAGAGTGGGAGGCCCAGGCCTCAAGTGGGAGGCCCAGTGCTTATCGGTGGGCCACCAGAGTGGAGCCTTGTTTACTCAGACTGTCGTTGGTGCTCGGGCTCCATCAACTCTAGCCTAGTGAGGGAAGTGTGCACGCAGAGAACCCCTGCGTGCACCGCGAGCGGGGGACCTAAGTTTGGCATCTGATGAACCTTGACGTGGGCCTTATATTTGTTCTAAATAAAAAACAGCGTTATAATAGAAATGCCATCATGTGAGACAATCAAGTGCATCAAGGAATCAAATCAATTTTAAAGAGGGACAGTATCACTGTTATTTTCTCATTAAATATATGGATGTTATTGAAACCAAATGAAATTGTTTTGGTTTCGGGTAAGATTTTAAAAAATCTCCATTATTTCGAGTAGCCTGTCAACCAAGCACAGTTAATATCCAAGGGCGAACATTTCTATACTACTTCTAAGTATTCAGTGATTGAGTTTTTTTCTCTGTCCGGGAAAATAACCAACATTAACTTGCAATTAAATGCTTTTTATATAATACATTCCTAAATGTTTTAATAAAAATGTAGAGAGCGATATTGAACCGTTTCAAAATCGAAACTGCAAAGGAACTAAAACCAAAGTTTTTTATTATCTAAAACCGAATGCAAAATATTTTACTCATCCAAACCAATAAGTTTGTCAAAACTGTTTGATGATATTAACATAATCATAGGTGATTATATTTACCAAATTATTGTTTCACTAAACTCTTCATTTAGGCACTCACTTCGTCTACGCCTTGAACTCGTTAATTTCAAATGAATTCTTACAAAGAAACAACACGTGGTTTTGCAAAACCATTTTTCTTAGAGATCCCCAATCCGACTTATCGTTTGTGCCGCTGCCGCTTGTTCTCGTCTCCCACACAATACAAAAGTACAAGAGTAATAGGTTTGAGGATCAGTAAATCGAGAATGATTTTCATTTTTTCATTTTCTCTTCAAATGATGCCCAAAAGCTGATTTTTGTGTGTTCATTATAGTGTTCTAAGCGGTTACTTAGGTACAAGGCTGCGAAAATCTGCAAAATGTTTATAAAAAGTTTGATATTTGTTGGTTTTCCACAAAAACTTTTTTCTGTGCAGTCGAGTGAAGAATACTTTATGACTAATCTATAGTGGATTAAACTTCTGCAACAAATACTGACAAATTCAAAACAACTGATACTACAAAATATTTCAAATTTCTTGCAATATGTAGTGAAATGTTGAAATAATATTTTTAATAAAAATATGTATAAAAGTCACGATCTGACAAATTTAAAGTTAATATTTTTCTGAACGTAATACGAGTATCCAATTGAATACATCATTCACTTAATATGTACAAAACAAAAAAAATGGATTCCACTAATATTATTGCGTAATTCAAACAGATGAACTAAAATCAATAAGATATAATTAGGGCATTCAAAACACCTCCACCTTTTTCAAGCCCTAATGATATCTCTAACGGAGAATAATATTAGAAAAATGTATATTTATTAAAAGAACTAAGGTTTTCAAAATATAATTTTCTAAGTGACCACACCACCTTCCACCAAATTGGTTGTTAGTTTTGAAACACGTCTGCAATTATAAGCATATTAAATACGTTACAGGCAAAGAGATTATGCGTTGTATAATATACCGTTTCTTACCTAACTGTTTGTCTCCATTGAACAGATTTTCCATAGTGAAGTGAGCTTTAGAACAATTAAACGTGGCACTACTATCAGGGAATTTGAGAAAATAACGATCTCCTTTTTTCTCCAAATCATATTTTTGCTGGTAGTACATAACAGCATCATCTGAAATAAACGGAAAAATAAGTTATATTTCATTGAATGTTTTTTCACAAACTTCACGTTTTTCAGACTTGTGACCAACTAAATATTTAAAAATATTAATTTTTGTGTGTGATTGAAGAAGGTATTACTCAGCAATGGAATTTCTATGACGTTAAAACCTAGTTAATACACAGAAAATATAATCCAAAATAACTCAATGAAAAAAATCACCGAAATGCAAATGAAATTCGAAATTATATTTATTGCAACAACTTCTAATAACTACAACTACTACTTCTACTGAATCTACTATTACTACTGCTACTGCTGGTACTAATATTATTATATTATTATATTATTATATTATAATATATATTATTTTTACTATTATTCTCTTGTATTTCATCTATGTTATCAATTAAATTTATTTAAACAATCGAATTCATATTTAGGAAAAGTCACCTTTCTAATACCTGAAGGAACTTAATATACATAACATTTAAACTACTGACCGAAAGTGAAAACTGCCTTGCCGTTTCCTTTAATGGGAAGTAATAATACTCGTCCATCAACTGAATAGTCGCCTGAAATTTCCAGACGTGGAATCCGACAAATACACGAATAAACCTTATTCTTTTGATCTATGCTGAAAAGAAACAAAACAAACAGAAAATATAAGACGTTTTGGGAACAAGTTACCGACTTGAAAGTGAACATTAAATAACAAAGTGTTAGTAAAAACACATGTACAGTTCTCCTTACGAATTATACATGAACTGATTAACTGGCGATATACAATACCAAGCTTGACATCTTGTGAAATCTACCCCTTCTTTCAATTCTCCCTTTCTTTCTTTCTCCCTTTCCACCATCTCTCATTCACTCGTCCCTGCCCTCTCTTCGTATTCTCTCTCTCCCCTTTTCAACTTCTCCCTCCTCTTTTCTCCCTCTTCCTCTCCCTTATTCCCTCTCCTTTTCTCCATCCATGTCTCTCTTTCGCACTCTCACTCTCATTTGTTCATTCTTATTCTACCTGTACCCTCTCTCACCTCTTCCCCTTTCCCTCCCACTATCTCACTGACTTTCTCTTTGTCTCATTCACAGACATAGACACAATGTATAGAGATAATGTATAGAGATAATAATGATAAAAAGAATTTTAGGTTCACACGTATGTGAAAAATAATGCAATAACTATGCATTTCACTTTGATTCATTACAATTGCAAATATTGCAATGTAAGTACAGCATACGTATATGGACAATATGAACTAATGTTTTGACAGCTGCAAGAAAAGTCAACTTGATATTTTGACAGGTACACTTTTTAATTCAGTCAAACTATTTCGTGAACCCTCCCAACACAGTACAAGAGTAATAGCCTTCAATAAGAGACACAAATTGTAAGTTTAACTTCCCAATCATGAGATTTTCACCACGTTATCATTAACAAAACGTACTAATGTCTGGACCTCCCCAGCGAGCTTTAGAAGGTAATAAACATAGGGGCGGAGTTAATGGAAGTTCATTTTTATTTTCACTAGAACAATGCCTTGGTAGTTTTATTGTTATGAGAAAGAAAAGACTCATTTTTCGATTTCGTCTAAATGTTTTTTCACTTTACCGTCATTTTTAATGCATATTTTGCATTTTTCATCGATTTTAATATCATTTTAATGCTGCTTGCTTTACATAATATTTGCGAGATGCAACAGATGTTATCGCCAGAATTCCTGAGTAACCTCTTCGATTTCTTTACACAGGTAGTGTAACGTCAGCTGTTGAGAGAATGTAATCGAAGCTGTCCATCAGCACCATTGTTGATTCGTCGTCGTTATGATAAAGAACAGTCCAAACCAAAATTTTGAAAATTAAGTTCACTTCAATGACAACAAGCAGCCTGGATTACATCAGTAACGTATCGAACAGCTTGACTTCTTCATCGGAACTGGTTTTTAGCACATTTTTCTTTGTTTTTAGGCATTTTAAACAAAATAAGAGCATTTTATTGATATTTTGACGATGTTTTAGGTAATCCGCCCCCAAGTAATCCGCCCCCAATAATAACATTTCTTCAAACAAATTCTGCATATGAGTCAAGAAGTTATCCTTAGTGTTAGTCGCCATGATAAATAAGCCATAAAAGCAATACACAAAAAAGAAATTCTTAGTTAGATTCTAACGTATGCTTAGATTAATTATAAAGGAGCGAAAGAGAAATATGATATTCTGCTTACCCTATGTTTATTGAGATCGTATTGGCTAAACCCTTCTAGCACAATTGTTCGGCATGCATATCCAATTGGTTGCCTGATTGAACGCGAACTTCTGTCACACTCAGAGGATCAAGGGAAGGTAGACGTATTTGCGGATTACCTGAAAAAAATGGGCAGATTATGTTAAGTAAATTACAACTTAAGCATAACTGTGAGTCCTGTGTGACTGCATTAAAGATGCGTCAAAATTCCCAAGATTTTTCAAAAACCTAATATGTTCTAGGAGTTACATATCTTTAACTGTAATCTACAAAATTAAATTCTTAGACCATTTGCGTTTATCGGAATTGGGAACTTGTAAATACTCTCACTCTGTGGCATTAATGGACAGAAATGTTCTAAATTTTGAATTTTTAAATTTTTCTAGGTTGCCCGGTTTCTAAATGAATTTCTTCCTTAGCCCCTTTTTTATAGTTGATCGACTAGTAAGTCGATCGACGATAAAGGACTTGTCTTTGTGTTATTATTCCTGGCTGGCAAACATTCCTCAAGCTGATGATTCTTTATAGTCCATATATTTCATGAAATAGTTTGTAATTGAGTACGATAACGGTCAGATTACTGTAAAAGCAAGAGAAAATCACAATTGTTGCAATTATAAATATCGAAATAAAATCGTTAACGCAATAAAAGATAAAAAAGAAAGTTTTGGGTTACTTCATCCCACTGTGACCTTGGGTCCAAGTAGCCTTCTTTTTATTGAGATTATGGGCTCACAATTAGGAAATCTGAAAAAAATGGGGAAGGCGTTCTACTAATAACGAAGTGATCATAGCTGTTCTATTAACAAATATATAATTCACACAATGTAAACTGATCCCTTGGCGAACAATCTTGAAATCCAGTGTAGAGATAAAGGTTTGTAGGGCTCAAATGCGTCCAATTTCTACCCCAGACATTTAGTAGAGTGCTGTATCTTACAGATGTACCACCGAAGGGTACAAAGCGCGTTTAATGCTGCATTGTGCTGCCATCACACGGAAGCAACAGCAAACTAACTGGTCAGTGCAACGTATAAGCGACTGTAACCGCTGAAACATTTCTTTCGCGTGGGACCAAGAAGTACCCTTAAGTGTCCAAGTAGCCCTTGCTGATGGTACGTTCTTCATCAATGGAAATTTATGAGTATAAATGTGTGTGTGTGTGTGTTTGCGCTTGCGTGTGTGTAAGGGGAAAGGAGAGGACACGTATAAGGAATAAAATATCGTGCGCGGGTCTTCTTCGCGGGCTTAAAGTTCGAATTTTCATGTGTATTATGAAGAATTTCTGAAGATTATATCTTTTTACAATTGAATGTATTCTTTTCAAAGCAATATGAGTTTCAGAGAAACATAAAAAGTGTTGAGAATTCCGAATTCTTTCATATATTTCATATAATTGTTTACGATAACACTCATACATGCTTCACACTCTCTCATACATACTTCGTCACGGGGGTCTAGTCTATCTGCAAGCCCTGAGAGAAACAACTAGTTGGAGTACTGGACTGATGTGTTCGACGAACAAATCCACCGTACGTGCACTGTGTAAACATGCCTCACATTATCCACCGTGCCAAGTATTTTTGATCGTGTTTGGCAACTCACTGCGAATGCAGAAGATTGTACTCAAACATGTGGAGGTTGTTTTGAACATTTATTGTTCGTAAAAAATGTGCTCAAATTAGTTTGATAAATATGTAAATAAACATTTCCGAATCTATGTTGGTACCAACTCTTTTCTTCTTGTATGAAGAATGTACTTTAGAAATTCGCTCGTTGTGTTTTTAGGCTCTAAAAAATATTCTACAAACAGGTTTTAATAAAGAAAAGGAACGAACAATCTTTTAACTTGGTTTTAACTAACATAATTAAAGTTGTAAAAATATTCACATATACCAGAGAACATTCTGTTGTTTGAACGTTTATCTCCATCTGCTGGGTCTTCTTTCATGCTAAAAGTGTCTATAACCTTGAATAACTGGTGGAGTCATTAAATTTCTGTCTTCTATCCGGTTTGCCTTCAGTTTCCGGCACTCGTATTCATTGTCTTAATGTGCCAGCGATTCCCGATGAATCACAATCTGCCCTTGTTAATAGTAGTCCACCTTGACTCATTAAGCTCCTGTTCTTTGCTCTCTACGAACACAGTGGAAAATATAAATTCAACTTAGTTAACATGTACAACTTGAAAGTTCGTACAACTTTCAAGCTGTACATGAGATGTTAGTATAATAGTCTCACCAGCCACCTGATTATGTATTATATTGTAAAAAGACCAATACTTGAGCTCGCATTTGCACAAGGAGTGAGTTGAGTTCAGTTCGCGTGCGATAATCGTGATTACACCCATAAAAACAAATCAAGTCAGATTTAATACGTCTGTACTTTCTTTCTGAGTTTAAATTCCGCTCATACGCTCAACAATCTTCAGGAGAAAAACTCCGAAGTTTTCCCGAATGATTACGCAGCATAACTCTTGATAGAGGTCCCTAAAAGTGGTGACGCATGCTCCCGACGACGACCACGCAGATAGGATATTTCGGGCGGAAATCCACAGATCTCTTGCCTTGTCGAAGCAAATGGTTTGCAATAGTGACGGCTGTTAATGAGAAACATGAACAGTATTAGGAACAACGCGATTTGTACTAACAATGACAGCCACTAGCGATGTAAATATCAAAATATGCAGACGAAATATTCGAAGAAATCTTCTCAGTGAATCATTTTTCGGGTGACAGTGGCCAACCACACTTTTCGGAATCAAAGCAGAACGTCATCCTTGGCTGGGCGCGCCTCGTCCTTCAGGGTTGCAGCCCCCATCGCACGCCGATCGACAAGTTTCACAAGGGCTTTAAGAAGGCCCTGGGAGGGAAGGAATTTTCAGCTAATTACAAAGTGAAAAACGCAGGTAAAGAGCATTTGTTTCTATGCAGAACAACAAATCATTTGCGGGTAGATTTTCCAAACATCTACAGCACACTAGCATCAGCAATATTTTGTTCATATGTCGAAAATTATGAATGTTTGGTTGATCGAATCTTTAGAGATTTGCTATGTCTTTCATGACCATAATTTTAAATATCAGGTAGGGGGAAATTTATTTTATGACTCACTCGTATAAGTAAATAATTTTGTATGAATGTGAATATAAATAAATTAATCTTCTATGGTTTAAGAAAAGCGAAATAGTGACATTATTTTAAAAATGAAGACGCCTTAGCCACCGAAAACGACAAACTACGCACTCAATATAGTTTTCCCAAAACCAAAAGGCAGGACACACGCCATTGACTTTGAACACATATTTTTCTCATTATTTCTCAACAACACAGCAATAACGAGGAAATGACGAGATAAATTAGATGTCCTTCGAACTCAACATCAAAAAGGTGATGCGACCCCTTGGCGATATTTCTTTCGTCCAAAAGAAACTGAAACTATTTTATTACGCAACTAGTTAATAATGACTATTCCACATGAGAATCAAAAATAATTTTTTGAAAAAATACAGATTACTTCAGTATGTATTCCCTGCTGCCTCTAATAGTGTGATTTTCTTCTAATATATTTAAGTATAGAGCCCTGAACCTTTAATGCGATGTTCGGGGTTGTGCATCTTGTTTGCAAGGAACGGTCGTTGTAGTCGACCATCCGTGAAGCGTTTCTACTAAACAAACGTTTTGCTTCATCATCACATGACATTATAGCCAATGAATTCTCTGTGTCTGCAATGTGTTTCTTGAGTCTTCACTTTCTCGTAAACATAGCACTATACAATTAGTTATGCAATTCTGCGAAAATGCGATGTCAAGATTTTGTTTCTTGATACAAAAAAGGTTTTCTTCAAAAACGTCTTTCCATCTCTCTGGCTTTCCGTCTGACTACCTATGAATAATCTGGTGTGTCGTTTTTGAATTGAATAGGATGAATCGCTACCTCGATTAGTGTTGACCAGATATCAGACAAAATGGTAAATTATGGATTATTAGAATTTCTTTTTTTTTGTCTTCTTAATATCCTTTTTACGTTTCGGTCCAGAAGGATTGCTTCAGTTTTTTTTCTCTTTACTATGGCCGTCCAATATCTCTTCTCCAAAACTGTCCATGATGATCGGCCACATTTAGAATTCCATCACATTCGCGTTATATTTGGAATCCATGCTGGACGTTTCCCTTGATTTTTGTCTAGCATTGAAAAGATATTTCAAATTTTTCGTATGTTTTCGTTTCCGATGTAGTATAGATAGGATACTATGCATTTTTTACACGTAAAAATCATATTTCTGAATCTTATATAAGGTGTCCAGACTGCTTCAAATTGAGATCGCATCCAATTAAAATCACGAGTTGTTATGGACACAAACAATAACGTCACCAAGTATTTAAAACTTAATTCGTTAAACCAGTTATAAGAACATTTTTGCAGTTGCCTGTATTTAAAACTTCTAAGCAATCCTGCCTCTATACAGCTCAAAAGAGGTATACTAATGTAGTCCATTACTCTTTTTTTTTCCTTGAAAATTTTAAAGCAATAATAAAAGGATACTCGTCACCGGCTGTGCGGCGAGAATTGATAGATTACAGATTCCTGTCCAGTTTACTGCTAACTTCATTAGTCCCGCAAGTGTAGTGCACATTTTATTAGCAAGAGGTGGCAGTAATCTTCCTGCGCTGGATGACGACACCCAGTGTCGACCTACTTGTCCTGGTTTTCCTTAATCAGGTGTCTCCCACCAGCGGGGCACCGCCTCAACCGGAACATGCTCCCAACTGTCTCTCGGCGTGAGTGGTAGGGTAGTACATGTATGTGTGTTTGTCAGTAACGTGTGAGGATAGGGCAAGGAATAGGAAAAAAAAATTGCGGGCGGTTTGTTAGGGTTTTTCTTCAGTATTCGTCTGGTGATATCGGAAAAACACGAAAAACTACCGAACAGAGCAGCCTGTTCCTATAATTTTCCTCTAGTCAGCAACTGAATTCGACCTAGCTGACAAAATAATGTCGAAAATCCTACCACCGTCGTGACTCGAACCTAAGACCTCCTTCAAACCATACTTATGAGAACAATAGTTCTTTGTTCCTTCCGATCGTGGTAGCGTTGGGTAAATGTGTTCCAGAGAGGTTTTGTTTCTCGATATTTGTTCAAGTAATCAGGTTTACTATCACCGTTAATGACTTTTATTATTATCTTTGTTAATGGAGTAATGCTTTCATTTTCCAATGATCATTAAATGGTTACAAAAATTTTAAACCTCTGCCATGCGTAATCATATCGTGACAACTTCGGCGTTCTCCCTCATTCGGGCCTGCCCATTAGCACTTTACAGTGTAATTTTAGTAGCCTTCAATGTAGACAATAGCTTTGCATTTGATTCAACAGAAGGAATTTTGCACTAGATCTTCAAAAATATCACATGGTGACCTTTATTCTCGAGGAAACAGCAGCAAGTTCAAACAAAGTTTACTTTACATACCTTAGTAGTACCTCAAGGACTGAAAATACTATAATATAAACTGGCTGAAATTGTGTATAATATATTGCAAAATGCATACAGTAGTATGCGTGATTTTGGCTGTCCGGGTGACGCCGCGTCGAAGGCTGTGTTGCCGACGTTTCGACCCTCTTGTCGTGGTCTTCCTCAGGGCTCGCATACCAACCCTGAGGAAGACCACGACAAAATGATCGAAACGTCGGCAACACAGCCTTCGACGCGGCGTCACCTGGACAGCCAATATCACGTACATGATTCTGGCCGCGAAAGCGTGTGACTTTACAAACAGTTTTAGTTCTAAAATATATACAATTTTCTTTTGAATATTTTCAGTTCATTCTGGAACCTACGCGTGACACACTGAATGGTGTTCGGAGGGGGCCGGAGTGGCGTAGATATGCAACTGTTAATACATACTCAATAGAAACTGAGTTTCACACACTACTCATGACCAAGCACGAGTTTCGTGGCTAACGATGCGCGTAAAGGTTACCGCACCGATAAAAGCAGCAGGCACGTCTGCATGTAACAGCGCCACAACCCGAATTGCTTTTGAAGAGTTCTTTGAACCAAAATAAAATAGGAAATATTCCAGAAAGACATAAAAGTATGTCACTTGACAATTTATTGCATAATATTCTAAACGAATATCCTAAGCATCCAAGCTTAATATTAAATAAGAAGTAATTATTTTTGACATTTCGGAAAGTTAGAATCTGATAATGATTATCAAAACTATCTCGGGACAAAATCTTCACATACTGTACGGTAAAATAAAAGAATACATTTTGTGTGCTGACCTATCTCAAAATATTTTCTCGAAAGAAAGGCGTGCTGGTTTCCCAATCCATTAACACATAGTTACCGAACTCCATCGAGTTCTTTAAAAACTTTCTCTTCTTGCCACATGCCGTGAGAACGTTACGTTACCTACGTGATAATGTGGCATATTGTGCACTGAATATAAAACTGGAAAAAAGTTGATGTAATTTTGATATACCTAAAGTGAATGTACGAGTATTTGAAACTGAAATTAAATATCTTACTTCCTGACCCCAAAGCTTGCGTATCTTTCATTTGCATTAAGCTAAAGAATCTTATCTGATCTGAGAATATATCATATCGTTTTGCAATAGAAGTCATAATGAAGAAGGTGTCAATAATAAAAAGACAAATTATAAGAATTCTAATGATCAAAATATAAGAGCAATTTACATATAGAGATTAGTGGATTGTGTAGATAGCATTAATATCCATATTCAGTAATAAAAAAGAAGAAATTCAGGTTTTATAAGACTTATGCAGATCTTAGTTTTTGTCAGCTATAATAAAAATTTAAATATATTTTTTTTAATTGTCAACTATGTAGGAATTAAGATACGTTTATGAAAATGTTCCGGAATAACGTTTTTCTAATTTTTAGTAAATCCACTGCTAGTAAAAAAACATAGAGTATCTAGGTTAATTGACGAATTACTTATTACGAGTTTTAATCCAAAATTCGAATGATTTATGAAATATGTTTTTTTGCTCACTACACTTTTCACTAATAATATCTAACGGTCGGAGAATTTTGTAAAGAAAATTTGTTCCGTTGAGGAGAATGATTATAAAAAATATACTCTTGGATTATATAAAAGTATTGATTACGGCAGTCTGTGTCTTAATGACATTTAAGCCGAGAGAGAGAGAGAGAGAGAGAGAGAGAGAGAGAGAATTAGAGAGGGAGAGAAGTAGAGAGAGAGAGAGAGAGATAGAGATATAGCGAGAGAGAAAGAGAGAAAGTTTTCCCAGGAAAGTTATTATGTAAATGTAACAATATCGATTTACGTAAGAAGAGAAAGGACGAACAGCTGACCGTGAACTTGTTCAGAAACCGGTTGCAGTTGGTACCTGTATAATTAGGAAACACTGAGTGACACTAGTGACTCACGTTCCTTTCAACTTGCTTACACGTGGCACGTGAGGAATGAATTAACAATCAACTTTTACAAATTTTAAAATAATTGTAAGCAAGAGACAAGAAATGTCATTAGCTTGTGGATGCATAAAAACCTTTTTTAAAGAATTAGGTCCTCTAACTCTGATCGAGGTCCACAAGCACTAATTTTACTCATAAAGGTTTATCTAAAAAAGTTGTTATTCTATGTGGGAATCATCTTTGAGCAGTTAGTTGTTTGTTTGTTTTTTCATTTCATATAAATGTATTAGTACGTAGAAACGTACACTTCGAAATCTGACAACTGACGGCACAATAAGGTTCCAACGTCAAAATACGTTAACGGCAGTTGATGAAGAGAATGTAAGAAACAAGTCCATAATAAATTATTAATACATAGTATAAAATATATTTACTGAAGACTAGAAATTCCAGAGGTTAACTTCTAATTAGATACAGATATAACTATAAGAATGGATATAATGCTGAATGCTCAAGATTTTCTTTTAAAGAGATCTAGTAACATTTATTTTCAATTCAATTTGTCGATAAAAATATACTTTTCTTTGATAAAAACAAACTTTTTTTACTTTCTTATTTTGAGGACGTTATTTCTCCGTTGTACTAAATATCTTTATATAAAAGAAAATCAGCGTATTGTATGAGTGTTTTATTTGCCAGACTTCAATAAGTCCGCGCAATGTATATGTACTTTTCGCTTGCATTTATCGTTCCTTGTCAAATGAGAGTAGAGAATATCCACTACAACATATATTTTTAATATTTTAGTTTCGGTGAACATAAGCAAAGTGGTCGTAATATTTAATATTTCGCTTTTTATGGCTTGGTGCCGTATTAAGCACTCTTGAGTTACAAGCATAGTGTTAGAAGCCCTTATATTAACACAAAAATTAATTAACTGGACGTTCAAGTTATTGCTAGATTTAAATTCTGATGTATAATGTAGCCTCTAATTGTACCATATTCACGTAGATTATAAAATAAAGAAAATTTGCAGTTATAATAATTGTGTAATAACGTCAGATCTAAACAGGTTACAAAGCATTATCGCAGAATATTTAGCCTAGTAAAATTAATGGTTCTACAGCAGGACATACTGTTTTACCGCATTATTAGCAACAGTTACTGAGTATTAACTTCTATCCATCCAGCTTTAACTGAAAAAAATTAAATGAATTTCTGCAAATGCATCCAGTGTATCCTGATTCTTCCCAAATATTTAAAACGAAATTTAACTGGGCAGGAATTTGAAGTAGGAAATGCAGGAGGAATTCCAATTGTTTTTAAGTTCTGCAATCATAAAAATTTCTGTTATTTTCGAAAATCGAAATTAAACGATCCATATCCAATTTGAGGGGCTGCGACATCAGCCAGGTAGATTGAGGAATATCACGTTTTGGAAAGATCTTTCTTCGTGAAATTTCTATGATGTAGTAATCTATGATGAGTCCTAGTGTTGTTCACAAACATACGAATGTAAAGACTGATAGGACAAACGATTTGAGAAAACCACGTTTTCGGTATTAAAGATCCCCAAAACAAGTATTCTGACTATACTACGTATTCAATTCACAAGAGATGGACATGAAGCGATGGCAACACTGCAGTCGAATCAAAATGGTGAGTCGCAGCGCTACTAGGCTTTGTGATTAGTGGCTGTAGCTGATAATGACTGCTAGTCTGAAGGAGAGCAAGGAAGCAGAGGAGGATAGTATTAGCGCTCTAACAATGTTTAGTTAAGACTAGCAACGGACCACAAACCTCTACACATTCTGCACGAAGTTCTTGGGTTCCTCAAAATTGCCGCGCGTTGGATACTGCATCATGCCGCCGATGTGCACCAATGGCATGTTACAAACATGTACAATAATTACTGAATCGCTCTAAGTTTGCGACGTCCTGCTGCGCAGACAGAACTGGGACGATTCTACTAGCTTCTATTCGCAGAATGGGTCGTACTCTGCTATGTAATGTCGGCAGAAATGAACGAGTTGACAATGTGTTAAGTCTTTTATGCATGTTGCAACTGTAAATAGAGTTACAATGATTACATTGAAGGAATTTAATAATTTATATCCCGTGAATAAATCTCGGTACGAAATGAAAGGTGTGTCCACTGCCTTTTACACAACCCTTGTACTGCGTTTACGAACAAGATATGCCCAGATGAGTATAAGGGGCCCACAAACTGTATAAACTGTATTTTTCTGTCTAAGTATTGACAGTTTCTTCTGAAGAATTACATAAATGTATCAATACGAATTCTTCAAGAGAGTAACAACTATTTGGTCCTATGTTTTGAAAAAAATTGCTTTTACACTACACACACAATTGTGTGCCCGTTGTACTATAGATTCTAAAACAATCTGCTACCTCCTACGCATATTTATCATTAACCTATCAAATTTTGTTTTGTAATTAGTTGCCAATTGTCTCCATGCAAATGTGTTAGGACAGGTCAGTATTTGTCAACTTCAAATCAACTTGTCTTTATAAATTGCGTTCGTATTTAATAACAAGTCATGCGCTGACGTATTCTGTTTCCTCTGTCTCTCTTGTCAAGTAAGAGAGTCACTCAGTAATGCATTCCCGTCAGGTTTGAAATGAAGATGACCGGTCGAATAGTCTTCAGTTGACAGAAATTACTTTTTTTAGACATGTGTCTTATACCTGACTGATGTTTTCCTGGGTTTACACAATTCCTTAAGGTGCAAGTAGAATGTTCCCTTAGATTTGCAATGCATATGTGCAAAATAAAACATTGACAGATTATTCACAAATTGTTATTATGTTAATATAAGTTCATTGAAGTCATAGTACCTATCACCAGGAATTACGTTCTGTGTGTTTATCACAATTACATGGAATTTTCGACTTATATTTTTTCTAATTCGAAAGTTTCTAAACAAACTAATTTGAAACTTGTGAACTATATATATTTAAATTTCGTAATTTTAACCGAGTAGCCGTGGTCCAACGATAAGTTCAAAACAGAATTAAATGTTTACCTCTACGAAATATTGTCTTTGGGGATATCCATGTACAGCAATGTTAATTCTGAAACTACTTTATTAGCCAGACATTCAAAACTCTAATTTCTACAGTTCTTCAATTATTTTTTAGCATTTTACAATTTAGACAGACATTAGTCACGAGGTTAAGATTTCAACAAAGATACTCACATTTTTGACTCCAGATAAAATTATGAACAAGTTATCTGGAAAAATAGTCAGCCTCTCTTTGAAATGTAATATTAAATATTCTAATAGAGTCAGTTTTTGTTTCATTTTCAATTAGAATTGTCATTCGGCCACTTCCAATACGATTCTGATTTTCGCATTATTCTGACAACAACTGTCTTTTTTTAAATCCTTGTAACTTCACGAACATGCACTTTTTCTGAATAAGAAATATTGTTCATAAAATTTTGTTTTCATCAGCCCTAATCATTTTCCACTAAATTGGTTAATTTATTAACCAATATAGCTAAAGATTTCATTTCTTTCATCACAGATATCACTATCAATCCTATTCTGCCCTATGACATGATTGTAACTATCATAATTTCACTCTAATATTTGATTCTTCTTTGCCTACTAATTAACTCAGCATATTAGCGCTGAAGAAGGGAAACTTCGTATTGTATTTTATAGCTCCTTTAAATTGTTTTCATAGATATTTCACGATTTTTCACATCAACTAGAAATCACGAATCACTCTAGAGAGGTTGATATGCATCATATACTGCGGACATGAACATTTAAAATCAAGCAGACATATTTGAATTACAGTCTACCCCGGTTATAGTGAACTCGGATATATATATTGATCTTAAGTCAGTGTGTATTGAAATTATTTTCACTAACATTACTACGTATATTGAACTTAATTTCACTTAAATTACGAATAAGTACAAGAATACTCCGTTGTAATGAACTCGAAACCTCAGCTGCAGCGAACGTACGAAATCCAATGTCCTGTAATTTAATTCCTTCCTGGAAAAAAAATTAATTATTTTCATTCTTTGCTTAGAACATTTTTTATTAATAATTTTTCTAGATATTTGATACTTGATTCTGCATTGTCCATTGTCTATATGATTCATAATGCAGTGCCGCAGTGCCACAAATTCCAACACTACGTAGCTAGGAAAGAATATCATCGGCCAAAGGTCATAACCGAAGGAGTCTCCCTTAGACTGAGGTAGCGATCCAGGATAGGGACCTTTCCAATGACATTGTGCCATTCAGTTTCACTGCGAAAACAAAGGACGTGTCCTGTGAGGATTACAACTGGCGGCGGCGGCGGCGTGCGATTGCTAGTTTGATGTTTATTGAGATTCCGCGAGACAAAGCGCGTTGTGTTCTACGTAGACAACAAGAAGAGCGCGACTGCTACAACTTGCTGTCGACACCAGTCGCGCCGCACGGAATCAGTTTCATTAGCCGCTTGCGCCATGTCGCTAAGGCGCTCGTATGCTATTAGGCGAGTGAAAGGATCTTCAGGGAGTAGGACGGTGTTCCAGCAGTACCAGAGACATTCATGGGTGTCAACACTGCATTATGAATCATATAGACAATGGACAATGCAGAATCACGTATCACATATCTAGAGAAATTATTAATGAAAAATGTTCTAAGCAAAGAACTGAAAATAATTGATTTTTGAAAGCCAAATAAAGGTATTAAATTTTTCACTTCGTGCTGTTAATGAATTTTGCTATATCACTATATTAATAAAATGAATCGGGGTGAAGAAATTATATTTAATTTGACATCTTCAGATAAATTAAACTTCTAATCTAGTGAACTAAAAATGTTTGTCTCGAGAAATTCATTATATCCGGAGTCGAGTATATAATAAAAACGGTGTAGGCACATATTCATTACTTAACTCAGTACTGAGTCAAAAAACGTTATTTTTATACACGTTTAGGGTGTTCAGTATGATACATTAAGAAAAACATATCTGGATCAGTACGTAAATTAGCCGTGGAATGCACTGCAAGGGAAGCAAAACCGACATAAATTAAATCAAAAGTATTTTCAAACGAAGCGATTCCCTTTTTTATTACTGAATATTGCCTACATTTTTAAATAGCGTAAAAAGGAATTAATGTTAATTTTTGTAAGTACTTTATACAAATATTTACTCCAATTGCTCTTGCGATGTGTTCTTAACATTGTTAGTGATAGAAAGGAAAGATATGAGTACAGTTGAGGACGTGACCGTAAATGCAATAAAAAGCAAATCATTGTAGTAATTATAAACAGTAATTTCGTTAAAATATTTAGACTACGTTGAACAATAAATCAATATTCTTAAAAAAAATAAACCATTAATGTGAGTTTGAGGACACTTATTGTCTACTTAAATTCCATAACATTTCGAAACCAAAGCTTCTATTCCAATTACAAGTTTTCCAAACATTCTTTTGCAAAGTAATATTGTCTTCCAAATGTTAAAGAGTAGTTAAATATATGGTGCAACCTAGTTCTATTCAATCCATTATTTCTTATTCTGACTTGTATAACGATCGTCAGAAGACAGCAACACAATAAGGAGAGGAAAGAAAACGCTCTGTACTAATATAAGAGGGTCCCATTTTTCTGCTGAAAGTCACAACTTCGGGGGCAGTTACTTCGATAACTGGATGTCTCCACAGAAATCCGAAGTGATAAGAAGCGCGTTCATTCGTTCGTTAGTAGTCGAGGACGAAAGAGCACAGTTTACTCACCTTTCACCAAGTGGGGCAGCGCGACGCGGCCAGCCTCCAGCGCGCACTGCTCCAGGTTGGGGTCCTTGATGGAGCATTTGTGGATGTAGGGAGCTGCAACATGCGCACCACACAATGGGCTACAGAGCTGCTCTCGCGACTCTAAGCGCCGCTGTCTCCGCCGCCGCCGTGTCGCAAGGTTGCGCCGGTTACGGCGACGGCAGCGGTGACGGAGACGGTGCAGTCGTCGGCCGTGCGGAGCAGACGGAGTGACTCAAGAGCTGCGGCGTTTCGGAGACCGTCGCCCTCTTCTAGGCCGCACGCACGGTAGCTTTACATAGGGGTAGAGGTTCGCAAAGTGAAACAAGAATATCAACGTGTGACGTGTTGGCAGCTCTCTCATCATTAACTTGTTTCTCAGAATTTCACTGAATTTCAAACAATTAAACGATCTAGATAATAAATCATGACAGCTCAAGGATGAGACTCATGTCATATTATGCGATTGCTTTAATTATTATAAAGCCAGTGTTTCCGGCCACTTTTGCACGTGTGCTTACGTACTTACAATGTTTTCTTAACTGAAATTAGATATCACAAAACATCGACACAAACAGACTAATAATGAATATTATAAAATAATCAAAAAAATGTAATAATAGAAGTTTCAGTAATATCAAAGTATTACATTTATTTAAACACGAGAGGAGGGACGTCATGCTAATTATTTATGTTCTAATTTTAAAAAATGTCAGTGATGAAATACTCGGATATTTTTGAAAACAAGACATGGCAAATACATAACGTTTTGCATAAAGTTTCATTTCAAATACACGAGTGATCACAAATCAGAGTGAACCTGCAAAACTAAAATGAAAACACTGCTAAAATTTCGAACGTAAATTTTAGTCGTAAATATGTGCGATAATACAATTTACTCAACATATCTCAAAAAATCTGGGTTGATAAATCAGAGCCGGTTTTTGAGGTTTCTCTGCTACTCGCGCATCGAAATCACCACTTGCAATAGCCGAGATCTACTCACGGAACTTGACTTGGGTCTTGGCGGCGTCCGCGAGCGAGTGGAGCGACGCAACCAGCAGCAGCAGCGGGAGCAGCAGGGGCTGGGCGGCC